TTCTGAGAGTTCTGTATTCGCTGATTCTGTCCGGGAAACAAGGAAACAAACAAACCTTTTTTGCCAAGGTAAAATGGCAAATAGGAAGGAACTACTGCTAAATGAAGTATATACATTTCATTTGGTGGGGCCTATTGGTTTTGAGTACAGGACATTTTTCTATCTGTGCACATCCAGGTGTATGCTATGAGAAGCCAAGAAAAGGTGGGAGATTGAAAGATGGAAGGGAGAATGGAGGTGGAGTCTAACTAGCAGATGTTGCTTCCTTTCCAGGGAAATCACTGAAAAAATATTGTGGTCATAGACACAAAGTAGCATTTGTAATTTTATTTTGCTTGCAACTTTGCTAAATCTAAGCCATAGGACAAATCACTTACGGCACCAGGCAATGTTTCACTCACAAGAGCCAGGACTCACTATAAATTTGTCTGGGGAGGATTTGGTGGCTCAAGCAGTGTCATGCCATGCTAAACATCTCAGCACCCCCTATCAATCATTTGCTTTCCACTTACCAAGAAGAAAGTCTCAAGAACAGGCCAAAATGGCTTTGGTGAACTTGCCTTGACAGCCTGCAGTCACAGTGAGTTAGTACTTCCCTCAATATTCTTGGCACAATTTTTAGTAGCATGGGATTAGGGGTTCATATTGGACCTGGAGATTGTGTAAGCCAGTTGTTGGGGTTTCAGTGCACTGGTGTAACAGTTCAGGATCTGGTTGACAATGCAACATTAGCTTTAAAATGATTAGAGTAGAATGTGGTCATAGGTGTTCTCAAGGGAGCTGGCCAGAAAATCTACCCAGCTTTGGTATTATTAAATTGGCTACCTTCTCATATATGCATGAATGCAAGAAGTGACTGTTTTCAGGTATTGTTAGCAGAAGGACAGAGTCACCCATTCTCAGTATGTGCACAGTGTATGAATGAGCTTCACCTGAGAGGAAAGACAATAGGAGCGCATACCAGGGCTCATGTTGACCCAAGGCTAGAACATTGTGGCACCTCCATGCCTGCGGGGGCCAGCTGGCTGAGTGTCTGTGCTAAGACTAGCAGAGTCCCTAGACTTGATGGGACACAGTGCTGCCTGTTGTGATGCGTTAACATTACTGGGGCTCATGATCACGTGAACAGACATAGTAGAAGTGCCCTTTCTCCAGACTTTTGGAAAATATGATGTGGGTTATTGTTGTGCCCCAGTAGACAATATTGCGGATTCACAGGGTGACTTTATATGAATCACCCACTGTTACTTGGATGCTTTCAGCTCTCTGGCTATAAAGCAGTTCTCCCCCAAATTATATGTGCATTTTTGTAAGCCAATGAAGGTGATTTATGGTAAAGATTAAGATGAACATGGACATTCCATTCATTATTACTCAGGCAAAAAACCAGTTGATTGTGTGTAGTCCTGCCTCTGACCCATGCCACGTTTTCCTGTTTTATCTGCAAACTTCTGAATCCTGACTAATGTTGCCAGCAGCCTGGGGGGAGGGGGTAATGCCCTGCCCCTTTAATAGAGGCTTAATGGGCTGTTATTTACCAGGTGATGTTATTTACACCCCCATGCCATGGAAAACTTCAGCTGCCCATTTCCCTACTTTTTTCTACATGAATAGGTCTGTTTTAAGGGAACAAGACATCTTTCTCTATGCCTGTTGGCAATCCTATTCCTGGCAAAATCCCTAGGTCTTGCTGAAACATTTGTAAGGGCCACCATAAAGTAGTGGCTGCCACTAACAAGTTGCAAGACTGGAGCTGTTTTTAACAGCACTGATCAAGCATGATATCAAGAAAGTCAATAGCCAGGAGCTTAGTGATTTTGTATAGGGAAAGTTGTATTTACTTAATTCATAATTAATTCTCACTCTTCTGGTATTTGTGAACATGTTTAGAATATGAGTAGTGTTGTTCACAGTTATAAACCTAGTATGAACATTTTCTGGATCTGAAGTAGGTGCCTTCTCATAGTACCTGTCAAATTATGTACCAGATGTTATTTGAAATTGTTAGTAGTCATTACACAATGCCTGGAGTTGCTGCTGTCTTTTCTAGCAGGGCTTCATTGCCTTTAAGAGCTGCATGACGCATAGAAATCCAAAAGTGAAGGGAAGTTTCTTGCTCTCTCACTTTGTAGTAAATTTATACCCCTAATCTCATGGGTAATACTATTATTCTGGGTCAGAGGCATCACTGGAATATGAGACGCAGTAAATTCATCTCAGTTTTTGCAGGCTAGTGGGGATCAGGATATGGCCTTGTATTTTAGCAGAGGGCTGTTGCAAACTCTCTCAGACTTTGATGTCCAGATTCTGAGGCTCGGGGGAGGGTTAATTCAACTCACTGTGGAGTATAAGTCAAACATCTGATGGCACCTGCGGCAAATGTGACCAGTGAGCATTCTTACCTCATTGCCAACTCCTAAGGCAAAAGAGTGGTATGGATCACTTGGCAGTGGATCATTTACCAGTGGAGTATGGGGTCATGGCTGCCTCTCTGCCCCCCCTGCCACTTACTTGACCAACTGGCCATCCAGAAAAACTAGATGCTCTCTGAAAGCTATATAGAACCACTTTGCAACATTCACTCCAGAAATTGCTATGCCACCCTTCTACCAACCCCGCTAAACTTTGCTCAGTCTGAGCTTCATTTCTGCATAATTTGGCCTTTTTGCTAAGAAACAATGCAAGTTAGAAGAGCAGCAGCTGCAGCACCTGCCTGAATGCTGCAGAGGCACTTCCCTTTCTTGCTTTTTTTTAAAAAACACAAAACAAAACCCCAAAACACCAGAAACCTTATTTTTAGCAGAGCCACCGTTCACCTTGGAGGAAAAACAAACTGGTAGTTTCAGAGGTTCAAAATGATAAGACAGGAACTGCACAATGGGGAGGGGGCTGTGCTCTGAAATGTTTTGCATGTACATTGATGCTTCATGGGTTCAATGCTGAGTTTAGATACAAAGACACTTGTGAAATTGCCAACCTATCTAAAGGTACTTCAGAATTCTAAGAGCTGCCAGTATTGGTGTGTGCCTTTTCCTTGGTTTGTGGGAAAACTGTATAGTGACCCTATGAATTAATGTTCTCCAAAATGTTGTGGAAGAAAAATATTGCAAAATTCTGTACCTTGGGGTAGTTTTATATTCCCCCCAAGTAAGAGATGTTCAAATGTGGCATTGCTCCTGTTTGTAAAATAGTGGTGTCCAGATTGGAGGGTCAATCATGTTTCTGTAGTGGGAGGTGAGTAAGCCTCAGGCAGACATGTAGCTGCTGCTGAATATAAATAAACACTTAAAGAAAACGGCGCAGTGCGGCTCTTGTGTGCCCCCACAACCCAAGCACTTTCCTTTCCTTTTTCTATTGCAGTAAATAACATGGCTTCCAGCTCGCAGAGTCTGGTGATGGTGAGATACTGATTTGGGTTATTAGTTCCTGGGGACATCTGCCTGTTTAATATATGCAGGCATTATGGATGTACATAATGAGAGCATCAATCCCTGATTATAGTATGGTCCTGAGAAATGTCAAATGGTAGGGGTTTATTACTCTGACAGAAGATACTTGCTCTAATAACAAAATACTAAAAGAGATAATCTAAGGTGCTCTGCATCATTAATGCAGTTGTGAAAACCTTGTATAGCGGCAGAATATTGTCATACCGTTCAATATTTTCCAACATGGTCCCCAGTTAACAAGCTAAATAAAACTGTAAGGAGAGAAGTCACCAAGTCAGCTCATGTGTGCCTGTTTTCCTGTGTGTGTGAAGTCCTGTCAAGTCACTTCTGACTTCTCATTAACAGCCTTGCTCAGGTCTTAAAACTGAGGGCCCTTGTGGCTTCCTTGATTGAGTCAATCCATCTCAGGTTGTGTCTTCCTGTTTTCCTGTTGCCTTCAGCTTTTCCTAGAATTATTGTCTTTTCCAGTGATTCTTGTCTTCTCATAATGTGACCAAAATACACATGAACACATGGAGTTGCCTTATACTGAATTAGACTACCAGTCCATCAGAGTCAATACTCAGACTGGCAGTGGCTCTCCAGGTCTCAGGCAGAGGTCTTTCACATCACCTACTGCCTAGTCCTTTTAACTGGAGATGCTGGTAATTGCACCTGGGACCTTCTGCATACCAAGCAGATCCTCTACCACTGAGACACAGCCCTCCTCTCAGTTTAGTCATTTTAGCTTCTAGGGAGAGTTCAGACTTGATTTGATCTGTAACCCACTTGTTTATTCTTTCGGCAGTCCATGGTATCCATAAAACCCTCCCCCAGTACTGTTTTACTAGGTTCTGAGTATTGTGTGCCAGAGAGGCCTTGGTTCAGTGGTACAGCACATACATTATGTAAAAAGGTCCCAGACTCAGTCCACAGCATCTCCAACTGAAGGATCTCAAGAGGCAGGTTTGGGGAAAGGCCTTTAACTGCATGAAGCGCTGGACAGCTGCTAGCAAGTGGAGTAGCTAAAACTGAGTTAGATGAACCCTCAGAATGGTATGACCCAGTAAAAGACCCTACATATGTCCTCTGGCAAAAAGAACCTATGAAAGTTACTGTAATTGGGAAAAGTGCAACACAGACATGCTTTGAGAAATGATTGAAATTTTGTAAGCTACCCTCAGAATTCACCAGTACCTGGTTTGCCTTATTCAGTTCTGATATCAGTTTAGTGGAAAATGACAAATGAGACAAGGGCAGCTGAGAAATTTCACTAATTTTATCAAAATTCTATTGACATCCTTGAAAGTTTCTCAGTGCTTGCTTGAGGGGGAACTCATGTTATTTGCTTTATGATATACTGAGCCTGCTCTCCTGAGCTGAGAGATCAGATGCAAGAAGACTTCTGTGCCTCAACAGCCTGTGTAGAAGAACATTTGCCTGATGCAACTATCCACACCTCTCTAGTCCTTGAGACATCAGCCAGCACCGCTGGAATGCCTTCACCCGTTGAATCACTGTTTCCTGTTGCAGATTGTCAACCCAATTCACATTTCCTGTTATAACAAAAGCGGAACCCTCCTCACCATTAACAAGGGTAACACACTGTGCATGAATAAAATAATCCTTTTATTATTGTTTTCTTAAGTATAGTTTTTGCTCTTTATGGAAGAAGAGGCAGACTGGCATGACACAGATACATTACTCTCCATCTGCTAGCATGTAGCTTTGCTGAACGTAACAATACTCCTTAGCATAGGCCACACCACCCCCCATGTGGCTGCAGGGAACCCTGGACCGAACATTAAAAACCAGAATATGTAGTTTGGCCCTGAGGTTCAAGCCAAGGGTGGCAACCACTATGCATGCTGCATTTCAGGTCCCAGGTGTCATACATGGAGGCAGTCATGTGAAGGCTGAGTGTTCACCTTGAATGATGTGTGCGTTGATTTTCAGCATGCTGATGCAAGTGCTCAAAAGGCAACGATGAAAACAGCACGCTAAATGTCAATGCACACAGAATTCTGCAGGTGTCAGCCTCTCCATCATAACCTCTGTGTTTGCCACAGACATCCTGCAACAAGTATGATTCCAGAAAAGGATGTGAGAAGTAGCCCTTCTAAGTGAACTCTGCTTCCTTTTGCCTAACTGGCATGGCGGGGGGGGGGCGGTTTCTGGGTAAGGTTTGCATCTATAAGACTGCTTTTTTTTTGGGGGGGAGGCCTATTTCAGTAGGAAATTCTCTTTTGTTAGGATAAAGGCTTTTAATAAACTCTGCTCCCATCTCGATCTTTAACAAAATATATATGCCATCAACTTTCCATTTGTATCTCTTCTGTATTTTGTTCCCATCATGTTCCCTACCATGCAGATAAGGAAATGCAAATACAGTGCTTTCTACACAGAACAAGATGATGCCTATAGAGAATGTTCACCAAACCCAAAGGTCTATTCTCTGCATTTGAACTAAGCCCATTAGAAACATTCTGAATACAACAAAAACAGAGCAGAACTTTGTCTGAGGTTAACTCTTTGTATCAGGTTAGGACCGGAGGTCAAATTAGCCTTAGGTTTGCATTGAGAGAAATCGAATGCAGGTGGGAAAGCTCAGCACTGGATTGCTACTACTCTGGCAGTCAAAATGAACCTTTCTTTTGCTTTCCACCCCAGTGGCCCGATCAAGACCACAAAGCTTACCTTGTAAACATGATAGCTACATCTACATCAGGAGATATTAAGAGTACAAGAATCAAACAAGAATTAAAATCCGTATAACATTTACATAGATCAGTCATCTTTTTTTGTATACACAGTAATACAGTCACAATATATATATATATGTATATATATACTTTTTTGTTTTAAATTACACAGTCAATGTACAAAAACAAGTGCATTGCTGAGACAACAGCATTCCTCAAAGTTTTTCTTAACCTAACAAAAAAAAGTAGTTGAAGGTCGGAGAACTCTTGTCTATTTAATCTGGTTTGCAGCTTGTTTAATTCATTCACAAACAACACTTGTCACTGGGTCCAGTAATTCATAAAATAAACAGATTGCAGTAACAGACTGCAGTGGAGGAGGAGTGATGGTAGGTGCTTATAAAAATCCAAGAGACTGCTGTGGAAGGGGATGATGGAAAGACTTGGGAATTCTTATTTCATGAAAACAGGAAAAGATACTATCTATTTTACATTACACTAGCCATAAGATCTCATAAGTCGGCTGGAGGGTGACTCAGATGTGAAATGGCACCCTTACCAAGAGGAATGTTAATAAAGGGGTGCACTAACCACACACAGAAAAATTAGCCTTCTGGAAAACAGAAGCAAAGGTCATGTGAACTCTCTGAGGTGGGATATGTGAAAGGAGCACATGTTAGTGAATGGGAGATGTCTGGATGAGTCATCTGGTACAACTGGTCCAAAATATGCATTGACCAAAGATGAGACAATCCCAGTTGATGTGTGCCATCACCTCAGGACATTGTGCCACTATAGAGAAAAGACCTCACCCTAAATTATTTCACAGTTAGTCGTCCCAGTTTCTCCCCACAAGACAAGACAGAAAAACCTTTGTTGATTAAATTTCTTCTGTGGTAACAAAATCTGAGAAAACAAAGATATGGGGAGAAATGCATGGTGCTTGAAAAAGGGACAAATTCTTAAAGGATGGGAAAAGTTATTGGGTTTTTTTTAAAAAAGACTCCTGAATAAACTGCACTGGCTTCTCTTTTTATGATATGCTACCATTATTGTGATATACTCATTACTATTTATACTGGTTTCTCCTTCCTCATATTTTCATGTTGGGAATGGTTAAGCCAGACCAGCATTCAGTCGGCACAGAAACATAAAGAATATTGTTATATTGGGGAAAAAACCATAAAGAATTTGTAACTGACAGGTAATTAACTCACCAGCTATTTGTGTATACGGTATAAAGTTAATTATACTGACTGGATACGTTTGTATTGCTTATAAAATGCTGGGGTTTACTGCATGATTTCCCCATAATAACCGACTTTAGGCTTAACACCAAATCACCTCTACAGCAGTGTCGATCCTTCTCCAGTATAGGAGAAACTGCCAAAGACTTGTGCAGTAACAAAGTGCCGAAATTTCCCATCTCAGTAGTTTGGCATTACTGAGTGCAATCACATGATGACAAGTAAGATTTACAGCCATCTTAGAACACAATCCACTAATCAGTTCTCCTCCACAACCTCCACCAAAATTAAAAGGAACTATGCTCAATGGAGTAGGTGCCGCAATATTTTGCCATGATTATCCCCTTGGCCAATATTTAGGTAAAAAATAATTTAACGTGTGAGTTGTTCGCCTTTTCAGGGCCCCAGCCACACAGGGGGAAATTGATGCGGCCGAACTGCGGCTTTGTAAAGCCGCACCAAAAGAAACACGAGGCGGCAGGATCAGACGGATCCCGTGAGCCGCCGCGCAGTTGCTCCCCGGCACGATCAGATGCCGGGGAGAAAGCCGCGGAATGGAGCGTGAGGCAGCCGGCTGCGCATGTGTGCGCATGCGCAGTTCGGCTGGGAGCCTCGGATGCTCCTGAAGAGAGGTGCACCAGCGATCCCACGGCCGCCCTTGCTGCACCGTTTCAGGTAAGTCCTCCTCTTTTGCCGGTTCTTTTTTTCAGCGCATTTTCGGCCTGAAGGGCCGGATTGGGGACGGGTGCACGCCGCTTCCCAGATGTTGCGGTGTGCTCGCGCCTGTTTGCTGCGCCCCCGATCCGTCCCTTTTCCGGCCCAAAACCTCCCGTGTGACCGGGGCCCAGGTATGACACTCATGTCCTGCTCTCAGCCAGAAATGGGGGCCTGCTGAAAGATCCAACTGATTAAAAGCACACTGGGGCACTTTACACAATAATGAAGGGTTTTCATTTATTAGTATAAAAGGTTTACTGAATTTGATGTTTAGAACCCAGTTTAAGAGTTCAAGGATGTCTCTGGACAAACATGGAGGTGATCTGTCATCCATATTTCTGCTTATCAATTTTCATACAATAGCTTCTTCTACTGCAAAAAGAAGCCAGTGAAAACCAGGTCCATTTGATCTGGGTGCATGCAAACTTCTTAGCAGTTTCTGGAAGTTATTAGGTCCATGCTATTCTACAGCACCGGTTTCTTTACTCCAATATAAGCACGGATGGTGGTAAGCCTACCATACTTTCTCTATTGATATTGAGTGTTTGCATTTAATAATCTAATCTGGAAGCTGGGCATCACATATCCCCAACTGAACCAAATCTAGGCCCCTATATATTCCTTTATCTATATATGTAGATAGTGCTCAATCTAGACCCAAGAATTCTTAACTTCAGCAGACATCTGCTGGCCCTCAAGCTTCTTCCTTATATTTCTGTGCTGGTGCCAGGATGTTGCTACACACCTCAAATTGGATGACAGTGCTTTATTCAAAATCCTATTATGAACACGCCTCTCAGCAGTATATGTGTTACACTTGGAAAAGGGACACAGCATTTAACTTTACAACCAGCTGTTCAGAGAAGTCTCTGTATCTTTCTGCTATCACCTGGGTTTGGAACTTTGCTCAGAATACTGGGTTTCTTTACCAGTTGAGTGTATGACGCTATCAATCAATCTCTGGGTGGCTGATAGAATACTCTCTTTGGATGAAGGCTTCAGTTCCATTTAAATATATGCTTCTAGCAAAATCCTGACCATCTTCAACAACTTACCAGGCAATCTTCATTAAGAATGAGAAACCGTAACAAATCATTCAAAGAGTTTCTAGTGAGGTTTTCTGGGACCATAGCACGATAGATGCCTCTTCCACTCATAGCTTCTTTACTGAGCTGGGTAGACTGCCATTAGTGTTCCCAGGTCAGGCTCTCATCTTGTTGGAGGTCTCTGGCAGACTGGAAATAGAGAAGTCTGTACTGGGTTTGTGTAAAAAAGGAATGCATCTGATCAGCCATCTAAACACATCCCAGAAATGCAGCCCAGTTCCTCAAGAGAAGATGGGAGAAAGGAGCCAGTGAGGTATGCTTTTATCATTTGCATAGGGTGTCCACGTGTGAAGTCAGAGCCCTAAGCATCATACTCTGATCTCATGAAAGGGGAAACAGGATCACAGGACTCTGGGGAGTGAGTCACAGAATGTGCATACAATACTGCAGTTAAAGCAATAGCTTGGGGTGGTCAGTTGGAGGCTTGAATATTTTACCATGATATTGGCTGGGGCTTGGTAGTGAAGGCAAAAAGTACCTGTTGTTTTCTTTTCAAAGTAGGAAAAGGCGGATAGAAACTATATAGAAAGGGGAAGAGAGAAATAATAACATCAAAGAGGTATACCCAGTTTCTTCCTTATTTTTACTGGCTTCAGTCTATTCAAAGAGGGTGAATTAGCTTAAGTAGCTTAAGTGCCAGACATTTTGAAACAGTTCAAGCCAATTGGAAGGCGGCTCATCATTATATTATCCTTAAAAACCAACCAGTCAGAAGCCTTGTTGGTTAGGTTTTAAGGGCTTGAGGTATTCACTTTCACTTACAAAATAACGCCCCCCCACCACAGTGTCGACCTTTCGTATCACATTATCTAAAAAAAAGTTAAAGCGACCGCAAAATACTCTTCAGAGATGGCTATTAAAAAAATAAACGATTGGTTGGAAAATATGTTTGGATCTCTAACTGTGCTGAGTGAGTGAATGCACGGCAAGATGGCTACTTGGCTGGCATAGAGAGAGGGAAGATGACAGAGGGTCTTTTTGTTTTTTGTGACAGCAGTGAGAAGAACACAACAAAAATTAGATGGCCTCCACATAATTAGCTGGATAGAGACCAAGCTGTCCGCTGTCCAGACGACCTTTGCACCACCCTTGTTCATCCTCTTCACCTAATTTGGTTAATTCATCACCTAGAAAAAACGTAACAAGTCATTAGTGAGGGCTTATTATCAACCAATGTATCATATTCTAGTAAGCCCCTTCCTCCACCATTCCTCAATTAAAATTAGCAGTCTTCTCAGGAGGCTTTACTTTTGGAGAGGGGCTGATGCACAGTGATTCTGGGGGCATCCCCAGGAAGCTTCTTGTGGCCAATATCTGTAAGAGAGGCACTAGCAGCAGCAACAAGCTCTCATCCTTTTAAGGGGAACAGCAAGAAGAAGAGGATATTACAAGCATGTTATATTGAAATCTGGAGATAATTTCTGTAAATACTCTCCAACTGAGAAACATGAACTTAATAAGCAGGTGAGCTAAAGCCTTTGAAAAGCAAAAATAAAATATTTCTTTACCATCCTTTAATTCTACTGTAGACCCATTTATGTATTATATTTAGAACGGGTAGGTCACACGTGACTTGAAATCCCTATAGCCAAAGGCATCCATATGCCAGGAAGAAAACTCTTTGAGAACAGTCGCGACGCCATCATCATACTAATGGTTTTAATAACTTTATTGTGTATTTTATATTGATTTTATATTGTTGTTTTATTTGTTGTTTTCTCTGTAAGCCGCCCTGAACCTGCCTCGGTGGGGTAAAAATCAAATCAAGTCAATAAATAATAAAACGGGACACTTTGTTAGCAGCAGGGCTTTTTTCCAGAGTTCTAGAACCTCTTCAACAATTTTTTTAAAAAAATGTTTAAAAGTGAATGAGTTTTCAGTATACAGACTGAAAACTTCATTTCCCTCTTGAGAGTTTCAGCATCACTTAAAAAAAAAAAAGAGCTCTGGTTGGCAGTGTCCATCTCTTTACTCTGCATGGCGACTGATGGATTCTTTTACATTCCTCCTCCTGGCTACCCAGCACACTTCATGACTTACCTGCTTTGAAACTCAGTTCATCCTGCTCCTGCCCATCATAATCATACAGAGCTCGCACACGCACGCCTTTCCCAGCCGGCTCCTCCTCAAAGGAATTGGCACCACCATTAGCTTCACTGGAGTTGTAGGTGTTGCCACCCTCATCATCTGACCACTCCGCAGCGTAGGCTTGACCCCGATCATAGCTGCTCACACTGGGAATGCAACATGGTAGAAGGCACCATGAAAACTGCTGCTACAGCCAAGGTCCTCTGATGCCTCCAGCACTGGCCTATGCAGCCACTAGGCATTATGCCCACTGTGTTCTGTTCCTTCTCATTTGAACATTGCACCAAGCAAGGCTCAAACTGGAGAAGGTTCAGTATATTCACCTGCCACGGTCTCCAGACTGTGCTGCTGACTCCCCAGCTCCACTGGCATTGGGTGTATTGCCTCCTTCAGTCTTCTTAGGCTTCTCTTTTCTTGTTACTGTTTGCGTTGCATCTGGATTCCATTCCTGAAGGGAAAGAAACGTGTCTCTGAACTGGCTTCCTGTTCCAAAACCCCAGTATGGTCCTGCAGTCATCCACGGAACAGCTTCTTACCTCAACCTGAGGCCAGTTCATAGGCATCCCTGGGCCACAGTTGTTGCGGAACCATCGGAGGTCCTCCTGAGCATCGGCTGTGCGGATAGTCTGCTCCAGTTCACGATAGACTTTAGCATAGCTGCAAGTAACAAATAGACAGCCATATAAACAAAGGCATGTCCCTTAAAAATGGACTTGACTAAAGCTGACAGCTGCTAGACGGGGAGTTGAATTAATTCATAAACCAAGACAACTACTGAATTCGATTTCTCTAACCAAACACAAGGGGGCACTAGCAACGTAGAAAAGCTTGGCCAGCAAGGCCTCTCACTAGTTTAAAAGCACAATGAAGATGTGCTGAAATCTTTGCTGTTATCTTATCAATAATATGTGCCACTGTTTGGACATCTTAACCAAAGTTCTGCCCCTATAAACTAGATGCCTAATTACACTTTATTCCCTTCTGTAATGCTGGTTAAGAGATTACTGCAAGGGAATGGGGAAGGCATCAGGACAACATTTGCCAGCAACTCCTTTGTTCTACCTCCAACAAAATAGATACTATGGAATAGGTAATCGTTCTTCTTACAGAATATTTTCATGAGATTTGTGAGATACAATGTGGTCAAACTCTTTATATCACTACATCTGCTATTAAATTGGGTAGATTATTTCGATGAAGGGATAGAGGGAATGCTTATTAAATTTGCAGATGATACTAAATTGGGAGGGGTAGCAAATACAGTAGAATACAGAGTCAGGATACAGGATGATCTTGCCAACTGTGGGTTGGGAAATACCTATAGATTTGAGAGGTAGAGCCTGGGGAGGGCAGGGTTTGGGGTACGGAGGGACTTCAGCAGGGTATAATGCCATAGAGTCCACTGCCCAAAGTAGCCATTGTCTCCAGAAGAACTGAACTTGGTCATCTGGAGATCAGTTGTAATAGCTGGGAAATTTTCTGTAGGGGAAATGATGTGCTGTGGCTGGGGAACATGGTAATACTCTAGGTGAGGTCTAACCAGAGCAGAGTAAAGAGGTACCATCACATCTCATGATCTGGATGTTATACTGTTGATACAGCCCAAAATTGCATTTGCCTTTTTAGCAACCACATCACACTGCTGACTCATGTTCAGTGTATGGTCTACTAAGACCCCTAGATCCTTTTCGCACATACTACTGTCAAGACAAGTCTCCCCCATCCTATAATTATGCATTTGATTTTTCCTCCCTACCAGCAAATTTGGAAAACGCAACAGTGGCCACAGGATTGGAAGAGGTGAGTATACATTCCAATCCCAAAGAAGGGCAATGCCAAGGAATGTTCAAATTATCACATGGTAATTTCTGGGAGATCTCCAGACCCCACAGGGAGATTGAACTCCAAAAACAACATCCGTGAAAAAAATAATGAAGAGTCAATAAATATAAGTTGCAAAAACATTTACTGAAGTATTTCTGTAAGGAATATCTTTCTGTCATCGCTCACACACTAACGAACACTGTGCAATGTGAACATTCGTTTCGCAATATATACTTTATCTGAGCATGTTGCAATCCCAATTCTTATCAAATACTACTTATCAACTCTTGCTGGAAACATTCCATGTTGACTAATAACAGGACCCAGAACTACAGAAATACTTCAGTAAATGTTTTTGCAACTTATCTTTATTGTCTCTTCGTTATTTTTATCACGGATGTTGTTTCTGGAGTTCTACTTCTTCCCGTGATCTCTCATTTTGGCTCTCACAGGGAGATTGGCAACTCCAGTGACCGTTTAAGGGAAGACTGGGATATGTATTCTACCTCAGGACACATTCAGTGACTCCCAACAGCAACAGCAAACTGTTTAGAATGTTAGAGGCAAAGGCCAATCAGGCCGCATATGCAAATGACCTCTGTGTTCCGACTGGCTATGGGGGGGAGAGGAACAGCAAACTGTTTAGAATATTGGAGGCGGGACTCAGGCAACGCAGCCAGTGCATAGGGAGTCCTTCTGAGTGACAGATCAGGGAGCCAACTGATTTGGGAGCACATGGAATGTTCAGCAAAGTGCCACCCGAAAACACAATTATATATAAGGAGAGATTGACCTGCACAAACCCTTCAGAGCTTATAGAACCCTGGAGGAGGAGATTTGGGTGACTTCTAAGTAATTTCCCCTATTTGCGTTAATTCCTCATGGGCCAGGGGCTTTTATTAAAAGAATTTCAGAAGGGGAGCACAATTTTGATTTATGTGCTCCCATTTATTTGGGGGCTTATTTATAGGGTCCTTTAGGGAGCTATTCAAGACCTATGGTTCACTAGATAATGAAAACCCTCTGATACACTCCTTTAGTGCTTTGATAGGTTCAGGACTGCTCAGTCCAGCCTTACTTTTCCCCTCTAATAGTTTTATGATTGACTTATCAGAAGCATTTGAATTGCTAGACCAGGGGTGTCAAACATGCGGCCCGGGGGCTGGATCAGGCCCCTGGAGGACTTCCATCAGGCCCGCAGTGGAACTGGCCATCTCCTGCTTCCAGTTCTGCTGCTGCATCACAGCTTGCTTCACCAGACTCTCTTAATCACTCTGCCATTTCATGTTTTAACCTGGGTCCTAGACTCAGAACTCTGAGCATGAGATTTCTGTGGTGAATGTCAATAAATCAAAAGTAGGTTTGCAGCTTACAGAGCTAATGTTTTACCCATGTTTCTATTTTAAGTTAAAAAAAATCTTTGTGTTTGTGTCCTTTATAAAGTTTATATCTCCGCTACCTGGCATTACATTTTATGATACACATGGCCCGGCCCAAGAAGGTCTCATTTATGTCAGATCCGGCCCTCATAACAAATGAGTTTGACACCTCAGTGCTAGATACTAGCAGTTCTGAGAAAAGTACATCTGCATGGGCCTCTCTTTCCCCCCTTAGGAGGCTATGAGAGTGCATCCAATCTATAGAAGCCAGACATAACCTTGAACTGAGCCTGTGCCAGTCTTTTACTTGCCTGTATGGCAGAGAGAGATTAAAATGGGACCAGTGCAGCTTGTCTGCATAACTCAAGATGCAATAGAACAACGTATAAGTGCAGTGGAACCTTTAAGAACAACAAAGTTTAATTCTGGGTATAAACTTGCATATATATGCACACTTCTTCAGATACCTGTAGAAATGTGCATGCACATGAAAGCTTATACCCAGAATTAAACTTTATTGGTCTTAAAGGTGTCACTGGAGGTGTAACACAGAAAGATGGAGTACTGTGTCAATGTGAGAAGAAAAATTGTAGGCAGGTAATTTATATTTACTCAGGAAGGTGAGGTAGGGCTGAGTCATTATCTTGTAGGAGTTGAAATTCTAATCTTATCTGTAGGCCTGTCATACTTATTTTCTCCCACGCTACAACATGAATGCTTTTTATTTTCATACTGCGGCGTCCCATCACCACCCGCCTGTTTACTGCTCAGCCAAACACTACCATATACAAGCCTCATTAAAATTCAGTCATAATCACACTGAAGTGTGCTCCTAATGACGAGGTAAAGATGCAGTCCTAAATACACTGGCTTCTCAAGCTGTGTGTGTTTGCTCAAGAGCAAATCCCAATGGATCTTAGTCCCAGGTAAGTGTGCATAGGACTGCAGATTTACTAGGGAGTGAGTCTCATTGAATTCGATAGTGCAGTTATCTGTAAGCATGTTTAGACCATGATCGTATTAGTTGCTGTAGATTTTCCGGGTTGTGTGGGCCGTGGTCTTGGCACTGTAGAACCTGACATTTCGCCAGTAGCTGTTACTGGCATCCTCAGAGGTATAACACAGAAAGATGGAGTACTCTCTATGTCAAGATGAGAAGAAAAATGGTAGGCAGGTAATTTATATCTACTCAGGAAGGTGGGGTAGGGCTGAGTCATTATCTTGTAGGAGTTCCCCAGGCTATGAACATGCTAATGGAGGAGCTTTCCTGAGGAAGTTCTTTTGTATATGGATTGTTTCCTGAGGAGGTTCTTTTGTATGTGGATCGGCTGTTGAAATTCTAATCTAATCTGTAGTGCTATTGTCAGATGTAGAGCATTTTCTGTCTTTCAGGACTGGAAACCATGCCCTATTTATTTTTAAACTCTCTTCTTTCCTGTTGCAATTGTGTTTATGAATTCCAATGGCTTCCCTGTGTAATCTGACATGAGAGTTGGATGCGTTATCCAGCATTTCAGTGTCTTGGAATAAGATACTGTGTCCTGTTTGAGTTAGGTTATGTTCAGCCACTGCTGATTTTTCAGGTTGGCCAAGTCTGCAGTGTCTTTCATGTTCTTTTATTCTTGTCTGGATGCTATGTTGTGTGGTCCCGATGTAAACCTGTCCACAACTGCAGGGTATGCGGTATACTCCTGCAGAAGTAAGGGGGTCTCTTCTGTCTTTCGCCTATCGTAGCATCTATTGCTTCAGACCACATGGCTACCCACCTGAATCTATCAAGATGCAATGTCAGTGTGGAGTTATCCTACATTACACTGTGGTTGCTTATACATTAACTATTCAGGCTGGAATTGCCATCATTCATTCATTCAGCTTTAGTGGAAATTATAACATTGCTTTCCTTGTTGCTCTCCAGTCTTTTTCCAGACCTGATTTGCAGCAAATGTTTTAAACTTAAAATGCAATTGTAGTGATAGGCTTTCCAGACTGGACAACCAAGTTGCTTAGGGCTACTATCCCTTTACATTTTCTTCCTTTTCTTGTGCCTCCCACTTAATTATTTCCTCTTCTCTTGGAGTTGTGGCATTTCTAAACGGATAACATGTTATTAGTTCTTGGATGGGTGGTGATGGTGGTTTAACAGCACAGTCATAAACAGAGTCAACCTGTTCTAAGCCTAATGACTTCAGTAGACTTAAAAGAGTATAATTTTTCTTAGGATTGTACTGTATGTGCTGCTTTTCACTTTGGAAGGGGAGATGACAAGGTTGAGAGAAGGCTTCCAGTGCTCACTAAAGGAGCATTTCTGCCACACAAATATTAGAGTTGCTTCCATTCTGCTGCCACTGAGTTTCAGAGGAAAATGATACCTGCTGTTCTCTGCCAGATTCAGGTGCCTCTTGATATCCAATAGCACCTCCTTCAGGAAGCTGAGTCTCTTCTCTTCAAACTGCTGGCACTGCTCAAAGACCTGCTCCATACTCTCAATGTACTGTGGAGTACACTTGCTTAGTTCATCCACCACCTTCTCATATTTCTCCTGGGCCTGCAGGTGCAACAAAGGAAAAGATTAAAATCCCTGGGGAAACACAGCAGGACTTAGACTTTTGGGGCAAAGGCATGTATTTCAGTGTGCCTAGTTCCCTTGGCCATTCTCATTTAACGACTTATCTATACATATATGAATATACTACATGGACAGGAGCAACAGGATCATGCAGATACTCTGCAATTGCCATGTGTGACAATTGCCTTTACCTCTGCTACACTAGTCCATTCCTCTTTGCACCAAAGATAGCAAGATGCCCACCAGTCCTAATATGCTATCTGCTATTAACGTTATTCTCTGCAAGTCTGCATTTCAAATGTAAGTTTTGAAAATAAAAAATCCAAACAAGTGGTCCATAAATAATATTTCTTACAAGCCTAGGAATGGGTCCGCTGAGGAACGGCCATCAGAGAACAAGAAGGGTGCATACAGAGGAAGAACGTGTACATTTATGTTCTTCCTCTGTATGACTGGCAGTGCCCACCACTGCATAAACAACACTGGGGCAGCAGGACATCCTTGAGGAATTATATTCCCTGGGTTGCATCCGTATTGGCCTGCCCTTCATTTCCTACCTACTGCAGCAGGTGGGGTACCAGATTTACCCCATAACAGTCAGAAGAGGTCAAAAAGTAACTGAAGTAAGGGCGGGAGATGTTATCGACACATAATTTCTCAAGGTCCTGGAGCCACAATAACAACAGCTACTTTCTCCAGAACAGAACACAGCAACTATATTTTCACTGCTGAGAACCTTAAGAGGACTGATCTTGGTCACTGCTGCTTCTTGCTTATGCTCAGATCATCTTCACCACTTTAAGATTTTTTAGCTTGACAGTAATTATTGACAAAGTAGGAGCTGAAAGCAGTGGGATAAGGCAAGCAAACTGAAAGCTTTTTTCAAGTTTAACAAGTCAGTAGTCTGAAGAAAAAGTAGGGATTTCTACTGCCTCCACAGATTTTTTTCTCTCCTAGTGCTAGTTTCTAGTTTAACATCAACAGAAAAAAAGGCTGTCAGCTGCCGGGAAAAGGCAAGAAGGAACAAGTAGGGTTGTCTGTCAATATGGTTGCCAACAGGCCCGGAGAAAATGTCCTGCCACTTCAATAGAAAGCCTTAATGTGTGGAAATGAGCAGATAAACTGGGTGAGTGGGCAATAGTGTGGCAAATGAAGTTCAGTGTGGTAAGTGTAAGGTGATATACACTGGAACAAAACAAAAATCCCAGCTTCGGGTATAGTCTAATGGGGTCTGAACTTGCTGAGACTGAGAGGGAAAAAGATCTTGGGATCATAGTGGATAGCTCAATGAAAGTGTCAACCCAGTTACTGCAGTGGTGAAAAAGGCAACTCTATGTTAGGGATGATTAAGAAAGAGATTGAGAATAAAATGGCCAATATCGCAATGCCCCTGTATGGTGTGGCCTCATTTGGAATACTGGTCACCGTATCTAAAAAAGGACATTGTAGAGCTGGAAAAAGGGCAGAGGAGGGCAACCAAGATGATGAGGGGGTTGGAGATTTTCCCTATGAGGAAAACCTGGTCTGGGATTTTTCAGTTTAGAAAAGAGATGAGTAAAGGGGGACATGATAGAGGTTTATAAAAATTATGCATGGGGTGGAGAGAGCTGACAAAGAGAACGTTTTCTTCCTCTCCCAAAATACTAGAACTCGAGGGCATCCAATGAAGGAAATATTACTTTACACAGAGGGTGATTAAAATGTGGAATTCGCTGCCAGAGGATGTAGCAATGGCCATAGGAATAAACAGCTTTAAAAGGGGATTAGATAGATTCATAGAGAATAAATCTCTCAATGGTGACTGAGGGGAACCTCCACTAAATCTCTGAATTCCAGAGCCAGGAGGCAACGTCAGGAGAAGGCCTCGGCCTCTATGCCCTGTTGTTGGCACTCCAGATGAACTGATTGGCCACTGTGTGAGACAGGATGTTGGACTAGATGAACCAGCAGGGCTCTTCTTATGTTCTTATGTTCATCGCACAGGCATAAATATCATCACCTTCTAAATAACATCTTATTAAGAATTTATTAAATATACAGAATGTTTTTTTTCCTCCGAGCAGTTGGCAACCCTAACCCTATCAATGATACACATGCTATGAGAGCAACCCTATGCAGGTCTATTCAGAATCCTACTCAAGTCTATTCAGTGGAGTTTACTCCCAGGAAAGTGTTCTTAGGATTTCACTGTATCTGCCCTAGAAAGGGGATGCATGTATTTAAACAATGTGTGGGTGTAAAGAAATCTGAGTGCATAATGCTAGAGTGAGTAAGGTGCATATGAGTGAAGGAACAAAGATATGTAAGGATGTATGGGTAAGGACATACCAGGATAAACGAGAATAAATGGCAAAATAGAAGTTGAGGATCACTGTGTACATCCAAGAGATGTTTGTGTGCACATGTCTGTGCAGAAATGTGGTAAAGGACCTTTTGTATAAGGACAGGTAAGTGTGAGGGCAAATATTTTAAATAAAGTATGCACACATAAGAGTAAGAGAATGCATACATATTTTCTTATATTGTAAGCTGCTTTGATTCCACATTTAGTGGAGAGAAGCAAAGTAAAAGTATCCAAACAAATAAAATAAATACATGTACAATGACTATATTTCTCATGTGTACAAAGATGCTTGGGTATGAATACATCCATTGTTTTGAGGGAAGTCACTCACACCTTTTGCACATCCTGTTTGCACTTTTCCACCTTGTCCTGCAGTTTCTTCTGCTGGTCTGGGGTGATGGACTGCTCAGCCTTGCTGTTGGCTTCCCGGGTCATAGCCAGTTTCTCCTCTTTGCATGCCAGGTGATAGGCTTTCTTGGCTGTTTCCAGCTGGTTTGAATTGATAGAGAAGGAAAGGAAGCCATGCAGATGAGTGCATGTAGATACTTGGTGCCAGTATCCAAACTCACTACCTCTTTTTGAACCCTTTGCACAGGAAATGCGGTTTAACTCAAGCAAAAAATCCTTCCGCATCATGTATATTCCACTCCATGAGGCCTATGCCCAAAGATTTATCTAATCTGGTTACTGGAATAAATTAGAAATAATTTGCATCATTTAACTTATCTATATCTGCATATTTTACTGCTTCCTCCAAAATAATAAAACTTGTGCTTTCTTGTCCAATGGACACTTCAACTTCAGGGTTTTGAAAAGGCCACTAGGTACAAGGCCAAATTATGTGCTTCAAAGCAAAAGCTGTAGATTTCTACAAAACTAGGGAATACTTTGTGTGTGGGATGTCCCCTGCATACAAGGGGACCCATCAAGTAGGGAGAGTTCTGCTATGAAATCATGCAGGCAGTGCTTTACAGTTACTGTGGACTCAGTGCACTGCATTCTCCTTTCTGTACCACACCTGGTGTCATCCAGATTTTCCTGAAGGAGAGGCTCTGTTCTCTTAAGAGACCCTTGCTCAATGCTCTGGAGGAGCAATGGGAACTCCATGTTATTGACCGCACAAGGAAGCTGTCCAGGTTCTTTCCCCCCTAAAATGAGTGTGACATTCTCCCCTTTTCCTCCCTTGCTCCAGCCCTGCATACCTCCTTCATCTTCTTGGCCCAAGGTTTCTGTGCTTTCCGAAAACCATCCTCTGCTTCCTTAGCCTCCTTGAAGCCTCCCATGATCTGTTTGTGGAAGGCATCTTTCTGCCAGTTCTTCACCTTCTCGAAGTCGTCGTTCAACAAGCTATTCTTCACTTCCTGATGCAGCTCGCTCACCTTGTCCGCCTCTGTCATTATGCCCATCCATGCTTTCTCCAGACTGCCGTACTGTGGGCCTATGCACCAAGAGTACCAGCAAGACTGGGGTGATTATTGGACAGCCTGAAATAAAACCTTGTCCTTCCTTTACAGAACTATCCGTAATCAAAATGTCCCCACAAGGTGAGATAGGAAAAAGCTTGGAAACAGAAGCTATGCAAGGAGCAGAGCCTCGGAGAACACCCAGACACCCTCACCCTTAGGGCCTTTCCAGATTATTTACTTCCTGTGAGGAAACATTGCAGCTGTTACTTATTCTTCAAGGTATCCAGCCATTTCACCAGCAACTTCCCTCTCAGACATGACACACCATTTTATGGACATTCCCCCTCTTTCTCTATGATTCAGTGAAGTCCTCTCCAGCACTGGAGTACAGACCTACCCTCATCATTCTTAGTCAGTAAACAGGAGTGTATCCCAGCAGAGCAAGGCAACTTCCCCCCTTCGCCTTCCATTATATGGAGACAGAATATCATACCTCTAGCACTGGATCTGTGATATCATAACACTAAGGCTATAATGATACACACACTTAGCTGGGAGTAAGTCCCACTGAAAGCAGCAGGACTTGCTTCTTCATAAACATTTGACTGGGACTTAAGAGGAAAGAGAGACTTTTAAACTTTCACTGGCTCAGGAGAGTTCCCTAGAGTTTTCTCTCATTTTTATGAAATGCTCAATATTTTAGGTTTGTTTGTTTATTATTATTTTAATGCACATATTTGCTTATTGTTCACTGTGTTGGCAAATGCTGATCTGGAAAGGCAGATAATAATCAGAAACTAACTAAATAATTGTCTGGAAAGGCACACATTCCAATGCCTATGTGGGGTTGCAAGATCCATTTCCTCCACTGGAGGGCAGCAGTATGTTCATTGATTCACCCAACATTCCTTTCATGGCAAATGAACAGAATTAATCTTAAGAAATTCTTGTGTGTGTGTGCGTTTGTCATTCCTCCATTTCATCCCACACTTTGAAGGCAAACATTGTAAGGACACTCCCACCTCCTCCACCCAAGTCCTGGAAAGCATGGCAAGAAGAGAAGTGATACCTTTCTCTATTAACTGCCTCCACCGCTTGGACCAATCAACCAGCTGCTGGGCATATGCCTTCTCAATCTTGGCCCGCTCGTGCACACAGTTCATCAGGTCATTGCACAACCGGTATCCATCATCAATCCGTTTCACTGTCCGTTTATAGTTCCCCACCTGCCAGAAACATGGAATACTTCCTGGGAACACTGACAAGCTGAAGTCCCAGGCACAATCCTGGAGTCCAGAGTGGTTTTACCACAATTAGAAGAGAGGAAAGAATAGCTATTCCTGAATTGGGGGGGGGGAGCAAGGAATTTTGGCTTAAAGTGAGGTACAGTTGATGGAGTGCCATTTTTGTGTCTCCTTGTCATTGTGTCTGAACATTGCCCTGGCACTCTAGTTCAGCAATGCTAGTTGTTGTCCTGCTATGCACGTAACAAGAAATTAAAGTAAATAGAAATAGTATTCACATGCAATGTGCAATAGCAATATGGGATGTTTCACAGGGCCATGAGATTCTTGAATTTGTATATTTGCACAATACCAGGGCAGAATTTGTGCTAGGGATCATCACCAAGATTAAGACACAGAATCTTTTCCCAAACTTAGAACATAAGAACATAAGAGAAGCCATCCTGCATCAGGCCAACAGCCCATCTAGTCCAACACTCTGGGTCACACAGTGGCCAAAACCCACGTGCCATCTGGAGGTCCACCAGCAGGGTCCGAACTCCAGAGGCCCTCCCACTGTGTCCCCTCAAGCACCAAGCAGACATACCTTGCGGCTAATAGTCACTCATGGACCTCTGCTCCATATATTTATCCAATCCCCTCTTGAAGCTATGCTTGTAGCCACCACCACTTCCTGTGGCAGTGAATTCCACGTGTTAGTTACTCTTTGGGTGAAGAAGTGTGTGTTTTATCTGTTCTAAACCTACTGCTCATTAATTTCATTGAGTGACCATGAGTTTTTGTACTGTGAGAAAGGGAGAAAAGTATTTCTTTCTCTGCCTTCTCTATCTCATGCATAATTTTGTAAACCTCAATCATGTCACCCCCTCAATCGTCATTTCTCCAAGCTAAAGAGCCCTGACCTCTTTAACTTTTCTTCATAGGGAAGGTGTTCCATCCCCTTAATCGTTTTAGTTGCCCTTTCCACATTTTTTCCAAGCAATAATATATTTTTGAGGAGCAATGACCAGAACTATATACAAATGAGGTTGCACCACAGATTTATACAAGGGCATTATGATACTAGTTGATTTGTTTTCGGTCCCCTTCCTAATATTCCCCAGCATAGCATTTGCCTTTTTTTATTGCAGTCACACACTGAGTCGAAATTTTCAGGGAGTTATCTACCATGACTCCAAGATCTTGCTCCTGGTCAGTTACCGCCATTTCAGACCCCCATCAACATATATTTTTAATTAGGAATTTTTTTTTTTGCTGCAATATGCATTACTCTGCACTTGCCCACGTTGAACCTCATCTACCACATTGACATCCACTCGCCCATCCTCGACAGATCCCTCTGGAGCTCCTCCCAGGTTCTCACCGCCCTGAACAACTTAGTGTCATCCGCAAACTTAGCTACTTCATTGCTCACTCCCAACTCCAAATCATTAATTAGCCCTGAGACATATTAATATTAAAAAGGAAACATGAAAAAGGTAGCATTATATTCTTACAAATATTATATTTATAACGCAGGGCTATACATTTGCAAACAAGAATGCACTGAATGCTTGCCCATCTAAATTTTCAGCAGATCTGATTTTAAGAGAAGGGGGTAAAATGTTACCTGGATATCCAACCCCTCCCCCATGTTTGTTTGTTTGTTTCACTGCCATTGTTGCTTTAACCTGTTGCTTGGTTTGGTGTCTTCTTCGCTTGATTGGGCTTCTCTCTCATTCACAGCTAATCAGGGATCATGTAATCAGTGTGATGATGTCACAAGACTAATTAGCCAATCAGATTTAGTTACTTGTCATTGTTGCTGAGAGAATATTAATCAACTGAAAGTGAGGGCAATGCTTCCTGGACTGACAGCATGGATGACTCCAGCCACCTGGATCAGTGATAGCCCTAACTTTAAAGCAACTGCAAAGGCAAAATTGTATTTTCAAAAAATATTTGGAAGGGGGCCTTTTTTACAGCTGATGAGCATATCTGTGAAATGTGCCCTCCTTTTCATTCAGCATACTGGAGTAACTATAATCTGCCCCTAAACTTCTAGATGAGGAGACATGAATTCCAAAGAAAAGAGTGACACTTCCAGCAGCACTTAGTTTCTTGGTATGGAAATGAAGCACTGAAAGGTTGTCAGATAGTGCCTTTTAAAGAGAAAAGCAAACTCCGGAGGACTAAAACCTTTCATTCCCAGGCTTCCATGATCTCCCTTTCCTTCCTACCCTGCAAAATCCAAGGCATTTTCATCAAGAACCTTTGGTATAGAAATTCGTGGCTTGCCTTTTCTTTAACTTTTGAGACAGCTTTCTGGGTCAATAAACACCACCAATCAGAAATCCTTTTTGCATCAGGCTAATAAGGAAAATTTGGGCGGGATTACATGGACACCCTGCTTTGCCAAAGCTGCTTCAGAAGATGTGTGTGTGTGTCTGGGAAGGGGAGGGCAGGGCTCTTACCTCCCAAAAGCTGTCAGTTATTTCTTCAGCAGATGCTGCAGATTCATCATAGGAGCCAGACATGGTTTGTGGCCCTTGTTATTTAACTGCCCAATGTTCAGCCCCTTTGCAAGCAGCACCAGACCTCATGCACTGCAAGAAAGGAACATGAAAAGATAAGGAGACAGATCATTTGGCCTATGACATGCAGGGGGAGGACTCCCCAGCCACAAAGCCACCACTTTTCCACTTTTCTTCTGTTTATCTGCAGACCCCAAAGTAGCCAAACCTGATGCTCCCCATCCCAATACCTTTACTAATGGCCTCCACGCTTACCCTCCTGTCTTTGACCAAAACTCCATAGCAATCAACATTTCCATGTCCATCCACAGTTGGACATTTGGACTTTGTTAGCAGACAAGCAATTTGTACTAGACAAGCTGCTAAAGTGCCTATGGCAATATATACACGTTGCCCATTGCTACAGGGCAATAGAAGGGTTTTTTCTCCGAATGGGAAACATGCTCCATTTTAGTCTAGCGTGAAAAGCTTTGTCTTTGTAGCCAATTGAACAGAAACACATATTAAGAAAACTTTGATTCTCCCCACCCCAGAACTGCCTCCATATTTGTTGTCACACAGTGGGAAGGGCCCACAGCTTCCCAAATCCCATTTTTCATTTGTAATTTATGACTGGCCATTCAGTTTTGCTCCCCCCAAAAACATTTATATTAGGATATAACAAGACAGTCATATGAGCTTGCATTATCTCTTCCTGGAACAAGAATTTTAGTTGACAAGGTCTTCTGCTTATCAACAGTTCTGGACAGAAGAGAAGATAAATGACAGAATGTCCTTTGTTAAAGCAATACCTGAAGCTTAAAGGAAAAACTAAGAGTTGTTCTGATTTTCTGGATGCGTTGAAGAACAAAAAATGTTAAAGAAACATGAGGAGCATTATTCATGGGAAGCCAGAGTACATGAGGAGAATGTGCAACACTTTTGTGTACATGCAGGTTGTCCATGTATACTCAGAGTAAATGCATTCATGACTGCCATATGGTGGTGATGATAGCTGAGAGCACATTACACATGCCCCCAGCAGTTTCTGTCCTATGTCCTAGGAGAAGAGCCAGTGCAATGTCTTATCCCAAGTATTTGATTAACATTGCACATTGCTATTTCTTTGCAGAAAAGTGAGTTCCTTATTAGAGAGCCCTTTCTAGTACATTGTTCCTTATTAGAGAGCCCTTTCTAGTACATTGTTATCCTGCTCTTCCTCCAAGGAGCAGTGTAGGTGGTTTGCCCTTGCTCATTTGATCCTCCCAACAACCTTGTGAAGTAAGTTAGGTAGAAAGAGAGTAACTGGCTGAAGGCTACCCAGTAAGCTTCACAGAACAGTGTGCACTGAAACCCAGGTCCTGTAAATCCTCATCCAGCAGGCTAACCACTACAGCTCACTGGCTCTCAGATACACTAACATTTTGAGGTGCTGGCATTCCTACAATGTCTGCCCTCATTTAAGGCACATTTCCACGAGTCTTCAATAGCCATACTGTCAGATCATGGGGTGACAAAACCAGACCCACAGGATGGGGAGTGGAGGGGGCTGCCTTTCTTTATCTGGACTTCAGATCTGCAGACAAGAAGAACACGTCCTTCTACCCAGGGGAATAACTGTTATTCCTATACTCTTCCCTCCCTCCCTCAATGCAATTTATAATAATCCTGAAAAGGTGACTAAGGTAAGCAAAGAGCCTTTAGTTATTTTGAAACTCTATGCAGCTGTAACCTTGACTCTCTAAATAAAGGGTGGCAGGTGCTGAGACAATGTCATCTCAGGCTGGGCAAAAGAAGACATTTGAGGTGGCTGTCATAGAAGCCAATCACATCCAGGTCAGACTCACATGTCTCTGGCTGCTGCTGTCATGTAAACTCATGTGAGTAGCAACCTGTCAATACTAAGACTCCACCCCCACCCCCACCCCAGCAAACCATGGGCGCCAGATCTAGAAACCTTGGCTGGGGGAAGGAATGGAGTAAGTGGGCAAGACAAATAAGTAACACTTCCATTGCCCCCTTTAGAAATCAAAGTATGCTCTCCATTCTACGGTGGCCAAGATGTGTCTGCTTCCTTAGGGTTGCCAACTCCAGGGTGGGAAATTCCTGGAGATTTTGGGGGTGAAGCCCGGGGAGGATGGGGTCTAGGGAGGGGAGGGACCTCAGTGGGGTATAATGCCATGGAGTTCCCCCTCCAAAGCAGACATTTTCTCCAGCAGAACTGATCTGCAATTCCAGGAGAACTCCAGGCTCCACCTGGATACTGGCAACCAGAGCCTTCACCTTTGCTGTACTGGTTTGCCTTCTCCATAGACAAATTTAATTCAGATGGAAAGAGTATAGAAATGGAAAGCACCTTCTTCAGTCCGCACAGACAGAGTTATCCCACCTCCCACATACCAGTACTCTAAGATACATCTTTTCTTGGCTGTTCTATAAAGATCAATCTTAAAAGCTCTACTCAATCTGAGGTGTTCATCATGGAACCTTTGGTATGATGTTCCTGCTGTTTGTTTGGAATAAACCACCAATAGCAAATTGGAGATTCTGTGCTCAGCATCAGGTTCATACCCCTGATCAAGATTTATTTAAGCGTTTAATATGCATCTCTTCTCATCCGAAAGAATAGTCTGCTCCACTCCTTGGGAGTAAGGAAAAGTATATTTTCCTCTAGATAGTTTAACCAAATCACATTGATCTGTAAAGCAATGACATCTCCCACGGGTCATGTGAGAAGGCCAAACTGCTCAGTCCTTCAGCATCATTTGAAGGAGTAGACAGTTCCTCTCAGAATGAGTAGCAGAAGCAAGGATGACGAAGGAGTAAAGAAGGGAGAAGAAGTTCAAGTTGATTCCCCTAAGCCACACAGATGCCAAAAGAGGACAAGGCCCCTGTTGTTGCAATGGAAAAAGGAATTTCAGCACATGCATACTTTCCCTCACTCCTGCAGCACTAGGACATGGCAGCCTCTAGCTGTCAAATCCCTTCTTCTGCACAACTTCTAACCATGCAGGAGCCCTGTTACCGCTGGTAATGTGGAATGTGGATTAACATGAATCTTGTAGATGTGATGGACAAGCTGAAGTGATGTTCTGAGATGCATGCTGTTCGTGGATGGGCCTAAGGTATTCTAACATGTTCCAGATCCCACAATTTACTAAATCTATAATAAAGTTCACATCTGGAAAATGTATGTAAAGCCAGGGAGGCCACCTGAAATTTCTTAAGGCTGCATCAGATGGGTCAGTTATTCCATCTGTAAACTGGGCACAAGAGTCTCTTTTTAAAGGCAGAAGACGCCTCTTTCATTTGATAATATTTGTCTTGTTATAAAATGTGTTCAAGTCAGATATCAGCTCTTGTGCATGAGCCTCTCGCAAGACAGAATTGTACAAAGATACCATAAAAAGAACATATGAGGTCTCTGTTGGATAAAAGCAGCACTTGGGAGCTAAATCCCAGATCATGCAGCTTCCAGAGCACTGGCAATCAGCCATGGCACTGATTATTGGCTGCCAGCTTGGAACACTCCTAAGGTACTCTGCGGCTTGGAGGTGAGAAGGAGATCAGTTTCTGAGCTAATGTCCCTGCAATGAAAAACAGACACAGCATCTCTCACCCAGCAGTGGTCTTAGAAAGTGCTAGCTCTGAGCTAGCATGGAATACCATCCAATAATGTACCACACTTCTTTTCTTGAAGCTTTGGAACAGTATTTCTTTGTGTATGCATGGTTGCATGCATGTCTGGAAGAACTGACAGACACGTAGTGGAATTCTGTGCTGAAATGGTTACTGGAGTTTCTGAGCTAGTTGCGGAGGCTGACTTACAGAGCTCACTGCAGTGGAACTAATAGTGCCTTGAAGGGATTTAGTGATATAACTCAGGAATCCACCAATCCAAGCCTGCCTTATAAATAAATGCCAGACTTTGTTCCTCACATGAAGACACAGGGACAAGCTGTGCGCGACTGGATGCATGCATACAGAGAGAAACTCATTTGGTAATGCATGTGCCTGCACACAGACATTGTAAACCACACTCAGCATATAAACACATAGTAACATGGAATATGTGCATGTTGCTGGCACCAAATAATGCAGCATGCACAGCCATACAAACCCAGTAATGCATGCTTGGCCTCATAGAACTATACATAATGTGTGCACACAAATATGCACAAACCATAAATATGCCATCATATATGGACAAGTACATGCTTATATGAGAAGGGACTGGGCCCTGTCAATAAATACAGATCCACACCTTTTCTACAACAACATTAATGCCAAGTGAAAGAGAATTCTGATATTATGTTGAGTCATCAGGTATGAAAGGTACTTGCAGTGTTGCAAAATCACCTCACCATAGTTTTGAAATACAAACATGGAAACTGCAATATATGCATGCCATTATACTATGCTTTGCTAGGCACACATACAAATATTGCACATGCATCAATACATGACAGACCTCCTAATTATTCCACCCAAACCCCTCCTCATTCTTGCCAAAGAAGAACAGTTATCAACCCCTCTGCCATTTTCCAACTGCCATTGCCCATATATATTACCAGCCACAGGTGCCTGCACACCTATAGCATGGTACCATCTGCAGTGCATGAACAGGTTCATCTTGGCTTCTCTGCTGCCACTAGCCACCTGCCCCAGCTGCCATCTGGTAGGGATGGATGAGAATTGAGGCGGCTTTCCCCTGTTGCCAGAGACTGCCTTTCATGTTCTGCATCCATATTTAGCGAATATATATTTGTACAAAACCCCAAAGGGTTCCATACTCTGTGCATATGTTTTTGCTCCTGCAAAATGTGTACCCTCTTTTGGTAATTTCCATACCTCTTTGTGGAAACTTGCAAGGATGCAGGGGGTGGGAGAGTGAATGCTGAGGAAGACAGGCCAATCTGCCTCCCTCCAACCTAATGATGCTTAGTTATACTTAGGGCAGAATGTGCATTCAGACACACATCCTAATGCACATCCCACTGAAAATAATCCCACATAGATAGATGACATCCAGACCTGGGTCTCCTTCCAATACATGTCTGAATGTGGCTGTTTGTCCATCTGCTCTGCATTAC